CACCATGAATATCTCTCTCAAGCTATCCCTTAGAGTTACAGTCACACCCACTCCCTCACCCTCCACCATCCTTAACCCATGAGAAAAACTAATTTGTTTTCTATCTCTATAATTTTGTCATTTTGAAAATGTGTTTTATATATACATATAAAATTATATAGTATGTGACATTTAGAAATTGGCTTTTTTCATGGTTATTTTTCACTATGAGTCAGTGTATTAGCAAAATTGTAGAATTGGTCTGAGAGGATGCTGTAGTTTTTTCTTTTTTCTTTTTTTTTCAGAGAATTCTTCTGCCAAGTAACTGGTGTCCTAACACTTTGAAATAACCTTCAATTTTAGGGATTGACATTTTAAGAGACTGAAGTGTGCTACCTGTGAGGGCCTATCTTCTGGTTCACACTGCTAGCGATTTCAACCCAGAGTTTAGAATGGACACCATTTTACCAGCGTCAATTGTAGTTCACTACAATGCCTTCCTTTGGCAGACTCAGGACCCCAACCCCTACTCTCCTTAGGTTCTTAGCCTCTCTGCTCTCCCCTCTGTAAATATCTAACATCCTCAAGTAAAAGGAAGCTTGAAGCTTCTGACTTGCCTCTCGGAGCCTCTCTCCTTCTGAAGATTCTGGCCCAGTAATTATTCTCTATCTTCTTAAATTTGCATGACTTTAAGCACATGATTTTTATACACTTTGTCTAGATTTTCTAATAATCCTCAGTAGTGGGTGGATCTAAGTCATCTAGTTTCCTTATTACTGGAAATAGATGTTTCCTGTAGTTATGTTTCCTTTGACCCACACAAGTTTAAATGTTTTAAATTTAAATTAAAATATTTTTAATTTTTGTTTTTTTAAATTTTGTTTTATTTTATTCGAGGAGGAGGAGAGGTGCAGAGGGAGAGACAGAAAATCTTAAGCAGGCTCTGTGCTCAGCGTGGAGCTGGACGTGGGGGCTTGATCTCACAACCTGAGATTATGACGAGCAGAAATCAAGAGTTGATGTGCAACTGACTGAGCTACCCAGGTGCCCCAATATTTTTAATTTTTGAATACAAATTGGATTATCTGACTTTTATTGCTATCTGACTTTTATTTTATTTACCTGACAAAAATCAGGTAAAGCAGTTAGTGGATACTGATCCCTTTAGGAAAAACACTTGCTCTCAATTTGGCTGAAGTCTTCCCTGATCCTAATTGTCTCTATCTGATACTTTATTAATTTAAATAGCATGCCTGCCTGGCCACTGTAAGCATTTTTATTTAAAGGAAACTTTCAAATTTAATATGACTTTTTTTGTTCCAGAACTTAGTTAGTAAATGAGATCATTACTCTAAATTTTGGTCATTTGTAAGTCTTTTCTTCCATCATTCAGAAGTCCCCAGTTTGGTGCACAAAGTAAGTCATATTCCTGTGCTGCTGTCATTAAATGACTGAGCCTCTACATAGCCAATTGTAAAAATGCCTTTTTTTTTACCTCTTTACAGCCTAGCATCTTCTGATAACTCTGAACCTACTAAGGGTATTTATTTACAATCTGTCCTTATTATCATTGCTGAAGAGAGAAAACTGGAAAGCATCCTCAGTCATCATTATAAGAGACTGATTGTAACGGAACAAGTCCCTTCACTACCCTTGATTCACTTGGTAGATTTACTTCTCAGAATCCGTTTTTTAACTGATTAACTTAGTGAATCATAAGTGCTCCCCCAAGATTCACAGAATATAAGCAAACAAAAAATGTGATATGTTAAAAATTATGTGAGATCAAAATCGTTATTTAGACCTTGATATCACCACTTTACTAGTGTCAATTATTTTGTAAGCATATATTGAGGAACCATGTTGCTCACATATTTTGCTGTTTCATGCCCATGTGTAGCTTCAAAATTATAGAAAGTTCTCAAAGAGCTTAAATTTTATCTGGGAAGACATACTACATAGCAAGCAATATAAAATATACATGAAATAATTCTACATATGTAAAATGACTGTATAAAAGGAAATGTATTATGTCATGAGAATGCCAATTAGAAGAGTAATAAGAAATTGGGGATGTTGAACAAGAAAGGCTCTTGAATCTTGAAAAAGGTTCTCAGGTCAGATTTTGAGGAATGTTTTAGATATGGACTTACAGGAGAGAGAGGTGAAGTTTTTCCAGCAAGTGGTATTTTTGGCAGAGGTTTTCTTTCCAGGAGCTCAGTCAGTCTACATTTACTCTTTTTCTGCAGAATTTTGAATGAGATTTTGTAGTATATGGCAAAGAGATGATTTTTTTTAACGCCCAATAATATGTAGACAGTCAAATGTACTATATATAGAAATAGGGCATGAGAGAGAATCATGTGGATAGATAATCCTCTCCAGTATCAGTTCTTTTTCCCTCTCTCTATTCAATAGAAATACTGCACTTTCTGAAGGAGGTAATAAGATATTTAATACATGAATACTGACCATAAGGAGCTTACATTGCTGTTAGAGGGCTAGTTACCAAAGTGAGAAGTTGAACAATATGTAGTAGCTATCTAGACATACAAAAAATGTCACAAGGCAGTGGCTGATAAATTAAAAAAAAAAAATCAGGGCTGACAAGTCTTAGTAAAGCTCATAGGAGGCAGAATCTTTGGCGGGCTGGTTTGGAGGAAAAGGGATTCATAAAAGTGATGTAACTTTTATATCTATGGTAGGGAAACTATAGAGGTCCTCTAATCCAACTGGATGAATGTCTTCCATGACATCACTAATAAATGGTTCTTCCTTCATCCTCTCCAGTAATACAGAATTCACTTTCATGAGACACCCTATTTCAAATTCCTGGAGAGAATGTTATTCCTTATAATCAGCCCCAAATCAACCCTCTTGTTAAATGTGATAGTGCTACCCAAAACTTCTCAGTCCCTGTGTCTGCCATCCTCAGGTGCTCCATTGTATTATAGACGTGCTGGCTTATTTGTTCCCTTGGCCTTTCTAGCTGTTTTGCAGGGCCTGAAGGAGCCATAGCCCCAGAACTATGGCCCTGAGAAACCTCTTATGTTTATCCCAGTGCAGTAAATACTATCACCTCTTATGTATGCTGTGCTGTGAAGCATTGCTCAGTAGAGTGTGGTGGTGAAGAGATCTGGGTCCTGGAATCAGACAGACCCAAGTTAGAATCTTGGCTCTGTCAGTTATTAGTTCTGAAATCTTGGGACAGAGACTCCACTTTTCACTTCTCGGTTTCTACACTGCAAAATGGGTACAATAATACATGTTCCCTTATAGAGCTGGTGTAGGAATTAAAGATGAGAACACATTAGGAATAATAAATACTACTATTATTGTCATTGGTTCTGCTTTTACCCCTTTAACCTCTTCTTTTTCACAAACCTCAAATTATTTAAAGATAGTTTTTGTGTCCTCTAAGTCTCTTCTGACTAAATATCCCAAGTTCCTTCAGTGTCTGCCTGTCCAATGTGAGTTTCTTCCACTTCTCAGTTGCTGTCTTCTCGAGATCCTATGGTGCCTTTGTGTTCCCTTTTAAATGTGAAGTACTAAAAACAGTATGTATCCCTGCAGGTGTGGTTTGAGGAGATAGTCCTCAAAGAGTGGAAAGAATAGGGGATTGAAAGAAGGATATTCTCACTGGAAAAAAGTGTAATAAGCAACGGAGAAGAAACCACAAATACACAAGGCATGCTTATCAACAAATGGGCCTAACCGGCTAAAAGGGAGTCATGGGGAAAAAAGATCTTAAAGTGGCTGGATTGTGAAGTCCCTGGAACTATGAGACTATGGATTCTATCACTATAAAGGAAAACCAACAACACTGTCATTATAGGAGATTTACTTCTCACTTGAAAGCAAGCAACCACAGTTTATGTGAGCTACTCACAAGTAGCAAAAAGTTACATTACAGCCATTCTTTTGCTTCCCTTAGATGAAAACAATCAATAACCCTACAATAGTCCCAAAGGTGACTCCAAAAACTTGAGAGATGATCCACAAACCACACATTCCTTTTGGCTGTTGGCTGCTGCAATCTACTATGGTTACAAAGGTGGGTGATCCAAAGAAGTTACTCGGCTCTATCTTGAAAGTCATAACTCAGTAGCTTCACCTACAGATTTCCTTTATTCCCAACCCTTTCTTTTCTTACCTTTTGGTCTTTCTTCCATTCATTCAAGTTGCATAATGCTTAGAACCTTTTGGAGTTCATGCCCCACCTCTGCTGAGTATCAAGTTTACAACTTTGAACAAATTACTCAGCTTCTTTGTAATTCAGTTTCCTCTCCTGTAAAAATGATAATTTTTTTGTAGGACTCTAAAAATTAATTGTGAATATTAAATAAGTTAATGTATCTGAAATAATCACAAGAGAACATGGCAGTAATAAGTGCTATTTATGTTAATTTCTGCTACTTTGGGTCATTACTATTCATAATTCAACAGATATCAGACATTTGGCTAGGCACAGAGGATGCATAGGCAAAAAGAACAATCCCTTACCCTCAATGGTCATATTTCTCCTGATTTTGTGGGCAAGGCAATGACTTTGGAAATACATTGCTGAATAAAATTTATTAGGTACCATTTATTGTCTTTGTAATCTTGGATGAAACAATTCCTCTGAGCCTCTTTCCTCATCTGTAGAATGAGGATTAATAAAATCTACTTCGAAGATCTGTTCTATTAAATAAGCCAAAATATGCATACTGCCTGGCACAGGGTTGGAACTAAATATACACTCCTTCCCCCATAATCCTACAGCCCTACCTGAGGCTGAAGGACCCAACCTTGAGTTTAGGACACAGCGATTTCTTCCAAAGAGCCAATCAGGAGGCTGAAGGTATAGCGGGAATGTCTTCAGGAAGGGCAAAAGTCAGGAGTGAGAGAGAACGGGGTGGGGGTAGGGCACGGATGGAGACCGCCCCTGGACTACAACTCCCGGGATGCTCAGCAAGAAGAAGTGCTCCGCCCCGCCCCTCCCAACCGGCACAGCAGGCGCTGCCCACCCCGTGGAGCCCAGCGGCGCGCTGAGGCTACAAGTGCCACGGCTGGTAATCGGAAGACTTTCCCGTGGAGCCGCGCAGGAACAGGCGCGCGATGCTCCAGCCGCACGTGGTGGTCAAAGCAGGGGTGAGTGATGGAGAGTGGGACCGGGAGGAGGCGCTGGGGCGAGGGAGAGGACCCCCCCCCCCCCCCCCGGGAGCCTGGCGGAGCAGCGGAGCGCGTCCCCACTCCCTGCCCTAGGTGCTTGCTTGCCTCGCCTCGGGGTATTTGGCGAACGCAGCCGGACTCTGGGCGCCCTGAGGTTCACCCGGAATGGATGGATTGATCTCGCAGGGAGCACCGCTTCCCGGAGCTTGCTGCGCGCTCTTCTCGCACAGTGAGCGCTGGACGGATCCCGAGGTCGCTTCCCCAGATCAGCCTCGCCCGTATTAGTTAGTTCCAATGCAGATGTTAATGTTTAGTTAATGGCAGACGGAGGAGGCAAAGTGCTGTCCCCTCGCTTTGAGGTGCAATTTCATTAACCGCGCTCTTAACCAGAGAGACGGAGAGGCAGGAGACGGAAGGAAAGAGCCTTTAGCTGGTCCCATGGGATTATCCTTTCTCTACTGAGGATGGAAGCCCCGGATTACGGAGCTGCAAAGGGAATCGACTGTGCAGCTAGTAGATCTCTGATGGAACAAGCAGAGTCTATCTTTTCTTTAAAGAGAGAGGGAAGCAGGAGACGGGAATTAAGTGGAGATTTCATTCCCTCTGTTATAAATGGGAAGTCTCATGAGGGGCTCTGCCCATTTTAATCAAAAAAAAAAAAAAAAAAAAAAGCCCAATGTGATGAGTTAATCGTGCCAAAAGTTAATCAGAGAACCTCATGTCTGAGGGCACAGCGAGATGATTTTTCATTTCAGGAATTGATCAAATACATTGTCACCACTTCCTTCCTGGAGGGATCCAGCTGTAGAGATCCGTATCCACTTGCTAAAGGAAAATTCTGGTTCACTTGAATGTTTTTTGCATTTGGTCTTTTTGTATTTTGTTTTGTTTTTCTGTTTTAGCTACAGAGAAACTTTGGTAGTAGGAGAGAAGTGGTTTTTTTAAAAACAAAACAAACTGTAACGTAGAGCAGCAAGGATGTGGGTTTCCTCTCCCGTATTTTAAGTGAGTTGCCAGGTAGACCATTAGGTGAGCCTTACTTGTGCATCTGTGTGGGTAACCAGGTGTTGGAGCTGTGGATTGTGAGCATAATAAACCCACAAACCATGGTTTAAATCAATTATTACTGGAAAGCAAAATAAAGAGGGCCTTTGCTTGAAGCTGCTGTACTTGGTGACAGTGAAAAGGGAGTCTATCCTGCAAAGGATGGTAGAAGCAGAGAAAGATAGGCAGTTTTCTGCTCAACCCAAAGTTCTATCACAGAAAGGTCCCGTGCTGTGGTGGGGGTAAGGGCATGTCATGGATACAAAGTGCCAAAGGTAATTTTGGAACTTTGGAAATAACTTCTCACCTGCTTACCTCACAAACTGTTGACTCTGTGGGTTTATAATTTGTCTTTTACTGTCAGTTTACTTCTAAATAAAAACTTTCAGATGGTCAATTTGGCATGCATGTTTCTTAGCAAAGTAGGCAGAGGGAGATGAACTCAGACCCATTCAGACGCAGTGAGCAAGAGTAGCAGACCTGTACCCAGAGCAGGTAGGTGTGTTGGGGGGAAGGGTGTGGTGTGGGCTGGCCCCTCGTATTTGGCAGGGGTCACACAGTTAAGGCATGTTGTCTGCATACTTCTGGGTCCATAACAAGCTGGTGTCATGTAGCCACAAGGGCTGAGAAAGAAAGCACAACGAACAAGCAAGGGTCTTGAAAATACAGGGCTGGTTGACTAAGGTCATTGGATGTATGAGGTGTAAGTTTAAGAAAGGTGGCTGATGAAACCAGCCATCTTTTACCCACTTCAGCTACTCAATCAAAATGCTGAGCCCCAGTTCCAATAAAGCCCAGCTGATGATGACATATTTGTTCGTCCATGGTGATGCTGTAAAGCTAATCTGTATTAGAATCTGTTCTGAACAAAGATAGTGTAAACGTAATTTAACTGAATTGTTGAGAAGTGTGTGCTTCCCCAGGTTCTCCAGAAAATCGCGGCTCTGCTAAAAAAGGTCCCTGCCTTTCTCATTTGTGTCTCTCTACAGGAAACTTGCCTTCTTATTTGAGGGATCCTGTCACAGTAATGTGTGAGTCCTTGGATAAATTTGGCTTGGTGACGGCAATGCTTTCTTCAGAGACACTGCTACTTCCTCTGTGCTTCTTTTCTACCCTGACCTAAGTTTCTCAGTGTTAATCCCGGTGATAAGTCAGAGGATTTGCCCTCTTCATACTTTCTTGCCACTAGGTATCCTCTCCTTTCTTTTACTCCTTTTAGAGGAATTGGGGCTGAGGTGTCTACAGTTGTGGCTGAAAAGGAGATGGGGACCTCAGGAGCGATACTCTTGGTAGTGCAGCCTTAGCTCTTGTTGGGTTCTTATCTGTGTTGCTGTTGGCAGAATTCTCAGAAGCTGCTGGGGGATGTCTGACTAGCTCCGATGGAGCTCCACTCCCTTGCTAAGAAGAGCAGCCAGGCTGTCCTGTGCGATGCTGGGGACTGGCATTCAGGAGGCCCTCCTGATAGCCAGGCAGATGCAGTAGCCATCAAAGCTGCTCTCTGCTGCCAGAGACACTGTACGTCAACACCAAAAGCAGCTGAGATTGAAGGATCTAAACTTAGTCCTTCTCCAGCATCCCCCTCCTCCTCTTTGCAAGACAGAGTTATTCAGACAGACTCCTTGCCACCAGGACCTCTCAACTCAGGGAACAACCAAATAACAGCAGGGCGGAAAGTCTGCAACTGCTGCAGCCAGGAATTAGAAACTTCTTTTACCTGTGTGGATGAGAATGTCAACTTAGAGCAAAGGAACCGATGCTCCCCTTCAGCAAAAGGGAGCAATCACCTGGGAGACGTTGGCTGGGGAAATCCAAACGAGTGGTCCCATGAGGCTGCCATATCCTTGATATCCGAAGATGAGGATGATGTAAGTTCGGAAGCCACATCTTCAGGGAGGTCAGTTGACTATGGTTTCATCAGTGCCATCTTGTTCTTGGTCACTGGCATCTTGCTGGTGATCATCTCTTACATTGTTCCACGGGAAGTGACTGTGGATCCCAACACCGTGGCGGCCCGGGAGATGGAACGCTTGGAGAAGGAGAGCGCAAGGTTGGGGGCTCACCTGGATCGCTGTGTGATTGCGGGACTCTGCCTGCTCACTCTTGGGGGGGTCGTTCTGTCCTGTTTGCTGATGATGTCTATGTGGAAGGGGGAGCTATATCGTCGCAACAGGTTTGCCTCTTCCAAAGAGTCTGCAAAACTCTACGGTTCTTTCAACTTCAGGATGAAAACCGGCACGAATGAAAACACCCTGGAACTGTCCTTGGTAGAAGAAGACGCTCTTGATGTACAGAGTTAATTCTGGTTGTGAACTTCTTGAGGGTCTGCGTTAGCATTTTCTGTGAAAACCAACCAACCAACCACTTTTCTTAAAATTAACAGTGCAGTTTATTTGCTTGTCAGGAAATGCTCATTTCACAAACCAACAGCCAGTGAGTGTTTTTGTTCTATATGTATTTTTTATTTACAAGAAAAGCTGTGTTAAGATGCATTAAGAAACTACAACCAGCTACACCTGTCCTTGTAAAGAGCTGAGATTAATTAATCTATAATGGCCATCAGCTTCTGTTTCTATAGCAAAATATTTCTAACAACCAGCGTACAAATGATTTTTTAACATGGTATGGGGTATTCTTTGGACATTAAGAAGTCCTGCACACAGTAGGATCAATTAGTAACTTATTTTGTGAAAAAGAACCTAAGCACTAATCACACAATAAGGCTTACATTTAATTCTCAAAGGTGCTTATCCATTCTCTTGCTAAATTTTTTCTTCCTCTAATTTGGCTGAACATTAAAATATAGGGTTTTGAATTTGAATATTTTGAAGCTTGAGGATGTTGATTATTTTAAAAATGCAAGAATATATATGTTGTATTTATAATCATTCCTGTACTCAGAAGTGGTAACTAAATCATTAGAATAAACTTTCTAGGAAAAGAAAAATATATAAATCATTATTAGACCAATCTGAATTTAACCCAGAATGTTAGTGCCAGATATGAGCTGGTGTTGCATGCCCATTTTCTAGGTACAGTAAAATTAATTGCTTACGTAAATTTCATTTTCTGTTTGTGGTTTAGCTATCCCACAGGTTACCCGGGCTCTTGAAGTCTCCTGGTTCTCACACCAGAGAGGCAAAGCATTAGACATTTTTAATATATTTCCAGACATATAAACCTCTAGGCAGGTCAGAGTCATGATTAGCTCAGACACACCCAGGTGACATTTTGTTATTGTTTGGAGAAAATTTCCAATACAATTGCAGCTAGACTGTTAGAAACATTTAGAAATTGGTATCACTTACTCTTGGCAAAGCAACAAACCATTGCCCCAGAATGGAAGCAGTCCTTAAGCCCACAGCCAAAAAATTAAAAGATAAGAGTGACAAAGAGAGAGGAAACTGATTCAGTGGGAACTGCATCCTCACGAAAACTCGCCTCCTCCTAACATGGTCTAAGTGTCTCTCTCCGTTCCTCATCCAGGCCCTCGGAAACTGTGATGCCTTGCCTCATGATGTTTACACTTGCTCTGTGAGAGGCACGATGGGCGAAGTGGTCACAACTTTGCAAAACACACACCCAGTGTCCACACTAACACACTGTCTCCGTATAGTTATGGTTCGGGAAGGGGTAGGAAATGGAGCCTCAAATAGCTTGCATTTTGCAATTAATCTTTGAGGTGTGTCCATCCTCCCACTGCAAGAGCTCTTTTAACTTCCATTAGTGCATTACCAGGATCTTACAAAGGGCTGGAACTTGGAATTTGGGGTGGGAGGGCAGAGATGGGTAAGTGAGAACATGATTTCTTTATTGATTCTAAAGCCTAATTCTAATGCCTGAAGTTTTTGTTGTTATTGAGGACTGGAATATGTGGGTGACTTTGGCTGGCAGAGCGTGTGAGTCAGGATGTTTATGTGAATGAGCTCCTGTTGATGTCAGAGATTGATTTGATGAGTTAGGTACACTGTGTGTTACTAAGGGTTAAGATGAAAATCAAAAAGGTAAGATCAGAAGATAGTAAAAATAGAGAGGGCAGGCATGTGAAAGAATTATTAGGTAAAAATGAGAACTTACGTGGACATCAGAGGAAGCTAGATGTAGCTGAATTACCTTATTCTATATAACAGGCTATTAACTGACTTGGAAATAATTGGAACATCATAAACGTGATTTTTGTTTTCTATTGCTGTTTCATCGTGCTTTTTGAAAAACGTTTTTGTTTTATTGTGATTCTCATGTCACAGTTTATGCTGAAGCTGGCTTACTGGAAGTATAAATTCAATATTTTGAAGGTTTATAAATTATCAGATTCAAACCTGCTTGGGCCCCACCATACATTAAGTTGGGGCAATAAGGTAATGATATCCTTGGATGAGTGAGTAGGTCTGGGCTGTGTGTCTTTTAAAAAAAAATACGTTAAAAAAATAATGCTTGTTCTTAAAAGCTAAGTGGGATCAGCTGAGTTTTGTTTTTATTTATTGGAGAAACATGATTAATTAGCCAAATTGCAGGCTAAACTGAATTAATGTGCAGCCTGATTTTCAGCTCATGAAGGAGGACAAGTTTGAGAATCAAGTGTTAGGAAGTTTTTCAATAATGTAAAACTGGATAAAGGAGAAAAAGCCAGAACTTTTCATTTGGAAACATTTAATGAATCTTCCAGTGCTACCAAATCACATACAGTTCTGATGTGATCTAAGGGATATATGTGTATGTATGTGTGTGTGTGTGTATATATATATATATATATATATATATATATATATATATCCATCCTATTATATCTGTATATGTATCCCAATTAGTAAAAGACATGCATGAGGAAAGACCTAACAAGTCAGAATATATTTCTTCCTTCCCTTCCTTAAAATTTTAAAATTGAAGTATAGTAATCAATGCTTACTTATTTCAACACTATTTAAATCTATCCATATATAGGACACATCTCTTTCAAGTCTCTACTTATATGATGGCAGACTATTACTCCAAAAAGAACCAATTCAGAAATCATCTGGACATCTCCTATAGTGCTGTGTTGACACAGTTCAGATAACTGCCTTAATCAGCTTTCCTCCAGTATTCCCTTGTATAGCCCTAGTCGATCCTATCAGTGCCTGAATTCAAGATAAGGATTACTTGAATTTAAAGCCTTGGTAACACAAGCAACAAAAAGCCCTGGACTTTAGACACTATTGTTTCCAATCAGATACAGAGGCTTTGGGCTCTAAATATATTTATTTAGAAGGACTTTGGCAGATCAGGTGATTATATTACACACATTGAACAGATGATAGCTATGGTGTTGGTCTTGGATCCTACATGGAGATTATGACCTTACATCTATCTTTTTAACATGGTGCTGGTCATTGTCCATGAAACCTTTTATTGCTAGATCTGGAACAGCAAAGCTTTTTCAGAGGTCTGTGGTTTAGGTCTTAAACTTTTTATCAGGTGTTAAAAAACTAAACTAAAGTACTTTCCTAATCGTAAAGCAGTTCATTGTTCAGTAATGCGGTCCAAAGGGGTGAGTACCAGAAAGAAAGCTTTCTCTATTACTACTGGGATCTATATGCTAATGGACAGTTTAATCCTATCTATCTATCTATCTATCTATCTATCTATCTATCTATTAAATGTTTGTTTATTTTTGAGAGAGAGAGTGTGAGCAAGGGTGGGGCAGAGAGAGACAGGGACAGAGGATCCGAAGTGGGTTTTACTTTGACAGCCAGGCTCTGTGCTGATACCGGCAAGCCCAATGTGGGCTCAAACTCATGAACCGTGAGATCATGATCTGAGCCAAAGTTGGACGTGCAACCTACTGAGCCACCCAGGTGCCCCTGATCCTCCTAATGGCTTTAATAAAAGGCTCCTTATTGGGGCTTAGATACTTGCCTGATACTGGTATCACATGCTTTGATGGCTACTTAAAATATCTTAGCTGAAAATACCTCCCTCTCATACTTACTTGTTTTAGGGACCCAATTGGACCAGTGCTGGCACATGTCCTTTGAGGTGCAAATTTAGACAAAGAGACTGCCCTACTAAATTCATTTGTGCCTTCCCTTTGTCCTCCAGAGTAAGGGTAGTGACTGAGTGAGCACTACGCCAGCTGAATGGCAGGAATTAGGGTCTGAACCCAAGCGGCTCTACTTTTTGTTGCTTCTTGTGACAGGCAAAAATTCTAGCAAGAGCATTTAAACATTTCAGCCTTCATCTTTCATATGTGCAATGACAGGCATATGCAAAACCTTACCTGGATTAGTCATCTAGAGTTAAGGAAAAAAAAAAATTCTATATATCTAGTAGGAGAAGGTTTTTCAATCTGAAGGTCAGATTCCATTGCGGCAATTACTGCCACCACAAAAATGTGGTCTGACCAAAGAGATTCACAACCTTCACCAATGGCTCACCTATTCAGCAAGATTTAATACCACCAGCTAGATTCCACTGTGACAAAGGAATAAGACAGATCCTTACAGTTCTCTGTAATGGGGTTTGACCTTTCCCAGAACTGGGCATAAAGAATGACTACAATGAAAAGAATTATAATGAAGTCTCACTGGCTTTTCCCAGCATAAAAGGGTTCATAAGAAAGAGAATTAACATATCATTGTCTTTCAGCTATATCATTTTATGGTTCATAGTACTCTATAATATTCTCTCCTTCCAACTTTTATGGTCAGAAGCCTTGGGAAATAATTTGCCTGATTTGTGCACTGACACTGTAAAAAGGGGGATGTTCTTTTAAATTTGTAAAAGTGATTTCAATAATCTGTGGCTTACATTTAAGAGCATACCTGTAGTTTATGTTTGTTAATGCGTAAGTTTATGTCCACTCAAGTCTATATATGTATTAGGAGAATGTTTTATAATTGTAGAAGTGTAATACCCAAAGCTATTGTTAGAATAATTTTCTTATAGGAAACTTGGCATGCCTTAACATTGACTTTAAGGATAACAGAAGTCTTTCACAGGTCATGAATTAAGGATTTAGAATCAACCTCAGAATGAAATGCCATAATTACATAGATCTCTTTTGGCTGGTCAGCATCTCACAGATGTTTGATTTATTTTCTTAACCACTCAATTTCGGGCTCATAAGAGTGTGGCATATTTAGAAGTTATTTTACCATGAATTCTTGTTTTATTTCAAGGAAATATGGGAAGCAGACAGTACTTTCCTCTGCTCCAAGTTTTAGCAATTTTCCTGTGTTTTGGGAAGAGCCAGTCTTACTCTCCCACTGCCATCTTTATGCTTCCTACCCAGGCTCTGAACAAATGTTGTACAAGAATGCAACGATGGATTATTACTATATAGTATATTGGGAGTTTCTATTTTGTGGTTCTCATCCTGCTTTTAATTTTATTTTTCTTGCCAAACAAGAAAAATAATTTGATGTTGATTATGTGTTTTAATATTCTAAAA